AAACTAATCGATTTTATGAGATTTGGACGACCGACTCATATAGTTTTCAGGCATCTCTAGCTCAAAATGTTTCGACAACTAGACCATATCATGGGTCTAGGTGTGTAAGTTACACACTGACCAACGAAACTCTAGACGGTCACTGGATATCGTTTGGTGTTCATTTTTTGTGTGTCATTTACACACGTTATTTTTTACAGTGCAGCGTCTAGTACTTTGTTCGGTTTCTTGTCGTACAGTTATTTAGTTATTTCTTATGTGTGTCTTTCTCTAGTTCTCTTGTTCTTATCTTTTACTATACAGTCGATATATAAATTAGTTTCTTTGGTTTTCAAGTTCAGTTCAGTAGTAGTAGTAGTAGTATTGTTTTTGGAAAAGAAGTGAAATAAAGATATATTTTACATCTTATTTATACGGCACTGTATCAAGGACTTAGAAGTAAAAGCCCTCACATATACCTTTAATAGTTGAATATTATTGTATTGCATTATTTTTATTGTACATTCTCATAGATAAATATGTGATTTTTGTCGTTACATAAATTAACACAAACAGCGGAAAAATGATTTTGTTTTTGTACAGGCAAAATTTTGAGTAAAAATATGATTTACATTGTGTATAATAATAAATTAGAATGACTGAACTTACAGCTACTATAAATTGTATCATATTTTTATCGGAAAAATGACAATCATTAGTACGATAAAATTACAAATTTCTCAGGCTCTACCTTATTTATCCTCACGGTTGTGGTATAACAGAAACACTGGCTATTGCCGTTGGTTTAGCAGCATTATTTTTTAATAAAAAACTAATTCTGTATGACTGTTCCGGTATAGTTTTAAATGTTTGATTGAGCTGATAAAAGTAACCTTTAGCATGAATAATATAAAAATTCATCGATTTGTAGAATGTTACAATAGTTCCATAACTATCTGAATCAGTTGAATAGTTATTCGTTACATTCCATCCTCCATCTGTTTGAAAATCTCCATTAATAATTAGATTTTCATTTTTCTCATTTAAAATTTGAATATTTTGAAGTATCCATAAATGATAATCATTTCGAAATGTAAATGATATTACGGCAAATGATGTTGTAGCAGTATAGTTACACGTATAATGAATAAAGTCATCTTGATATGTTGATATATTAAGATGTAAACATTGAAAATATGTTAAACACTCTATACCATTCCAAAATAATGATTTATTTTGACATGAGCAAATATTTTTATCTATTGAACAAATTAAGTCTAAATCTTTGCGGCACCAATCATCCGAACTACAATTTGCTCCAACATAAAATTGATTGACACAAATTGTATCATTCCAAAATGTATTTTTTGGACATAAACATAAATCATTAATACATTCTAAAAAGTGACTATTTTGACAGTGATCACACGTTTTATTATAATGTTCATAAAATTTTGGATTATAATCAAGTTCACCAACGGCAATTGTTAATGATGTTGAATCGATAACAAATCCTGTTGACATTGAACCTTCAAATAATCGACAACGAAAATATCTTCGATCATAATCAAATGTACGACATTGACGATTTTGTTTACATTTAAAAAAACAGTCTAATGATGTTTTAATATTTGTCATAATACTTAACAATTCATTTGGATGAATAGGATGAAATTCTACACCCGCTATTGGAGGAAATTCTGTAAAAGATAAAAATATTTTATTTTAATTAAGAAACATTGTTCAATATGTATTACCTTCATCTTCTTCAATACCATTGTTGTCTAACATAATCGTAGTTAATTGATCGTAAGAATATATATCCGAAAATGACTGTTGAGTTGGAGACTCATCAATATTATATGTTGATGTTTCCATACTATTATAATTCATCGTTAATTGTGATACATTTACTTCTGTTATTATTGTCTGATTATCAATTTCATTTTCTTTTGTAATATTTATGTTGATTCGATGATTTAACACAGAATAATCAAATGAATTTAATTTATTTAAAATACTATTAATAGCATGTATTTTTAATTGTTGAACTTTTGAAAAACTTTTATAATCATTTTCCGATTTATCATCATTCTGAATTTTATCTATGAATGTCTCATATATATTTTTAATTTTGATACCATTATGATCATATTGTCCTGATTCCGTATAAATATGTTGAAAAAATTGAATAATTTTATTGATTAATTCATTTATATTTTGTTTAACAGATAAATCATACCAAAATTGACTTGAACGTTGTTGTTGATAATGATTATATTGTTGTTTCTCTAAACATGATGGTGTATAACTAAACTGTAATTTTAAATTTGATATAGATTTTAATGCTAATTTAGTATAATAAAAATTAATTTTTTCACGACATTTTAATAAGAATTTATCTGGTACTATTGACCAATTATGTGAATAATGATAGATACGATGCCATTTATTGTCAATGGAACAAAGATTTTTTTTCTTTAAATTATTCCAATTAATTTTTATACATTTTGTAGGAGCAGGAAAAAATGAACATTGTGAACATATACTTAATAATGAATTTTGAAATAATTTTTCAATATTTGGTATAATTTGATTTATTTGTATAGTAAAAGAATAATTATTAGATAATCTTATACTTCTTATTGGTTGAGTATAGAAAAATTGATACATGTTTGTCTCATTTTGTAAGAGAATTATATTAGTGTTATTTAGTTTTATTTTTGTCACATAAATTAATTTAATATCATTCAATGCGTGACATAGACTAGGTAAAATAATTAGTAAAATAATTAGATTATGCATGATATTATAATATTTCAAAATACAATTTTTTTTTTATCAAGGATAAGGTTGATCCATTGAGTAAAAAGGAGAAATCTATTTCTTTCATATTACAACAAGAATATTAGTGAAAATAGATGTATTTTTCATTATTTTTGATGATATATGTACAAGATCTGTTGACATATGTCCATCATAAAAATAGTTGTTTTTACAAGGATAAAAACATATTGACACACAGACGATTTCAAAAAGAAGATATCATTGATAACTTCTGCTAGACTACATAAAAATAGAAATATATATTATTGAAACGGATATAATCTGTTCATCCAAAAATAGATGTGTTACGAAAGAAAAATGTTTTGTTTCAATTTTCTACAAATCGTTGAAGAAAAACTAATCAAATACGAGAAAACAATATAAAATTTAGATAAACAAACTTTTTATATTAAAAAAAAAGTAAGTACTCATGAGAACAAACGTGTTTCTTCCACACGAGTAATTAATTTAAAAAAAGTAGTGGAAGTGTTTTTTATCCAAAAAAACATTTAACCGTAAAAATTAAAGTTTTAAGTTGGATTGAAGGAGTCTTAAGTCAAGGCACTTGTTCTCGTATCACTCTCTATCTCTGCTAATAACAGTTAAAAACGCGTCTAATAACAGTTTTTGTTTTTTATTCACCAAGTATAAAAGAAAAACGAGTAAATATGGCGATAAACTAATTTTTATCCATTTTGTGACCATAATACGAGAATTAGCAGTTGTAAATAAATTTATAAAATAAAATAAAATTCGAGACCGGACTGATTTGTGAACATCTGCAATTTACATAATATCTAGATGTTCAGATATTCAGATATCTTCCTCTTTGGCGAATATCAGGAAGCGCCTCACTCTCATCTTCCCTTGCCGCCCCCACCTTCCCTTTTCCCCATTTCCATAACATCTGAATATCTAAATATCTAACTTGAATATCAGACTATCTGAATATCTGAACATCCAGATATACATCTAGATATATTATTTAAATTGCAGATGTTCACAAATCAGACCCTACTGTAAAATTCTACGAGGAAACGAAATTAAAGTTAAGTATGATTTCCTTATCATATTATCAACAGATCTTTATTCAGATAAACTCGAATGTCATAATATGTCCGAGTGACTTCCCATGAGGGCATTTTCGATAAATTTATCCACCCATCATCGATTTTCTACTATTTATCGAAAGGAAAAATTCATCGCGATAAAGAACTTTTTTATCGCAGAAATCTATTTTATCGCGATACCTGTCGATAAATATATCCTATTATAATTTGCTATAATTTATCGCGATCCTTTCGATAAACAGTAGAAAAACGGGTGACGGGTGGATCAAAATATCATTTATCGCGATAAATTTATCGAAAATGCCCTCATGGGTAATATAAGAAAACGTTTAGAATTAGGTGTTAATCAACAAGTAATTGGAACATGAAATGTGATCTACGCCCATGTCGCTAAAACCAAAACCTTTTTTTTCGTTAATCAAATATATAACGTAAAAATAACTGTAAAAACGTAAGTGGTGTAACGCAAAAATGGTTGCAAAAGCGAAATTTTGTATACTTTTGTTTTAATACAAAATTTTGTAAATATAAAGATAAGAGTAACAGCTCCATGATTTCTAATTCTAGAACGTCACATAATTTCTAATTAAATAAAATTAAAATGAATTTTAAAACAGCTGTTGTTACTCTTACATTTATATTGAAATTATTACCCCTCAACAAGTTAAATATTTCTAATTTTGTAAATATTTTGTTCTAGAAGAGTATGTAAAATTTCGCTTCTGTAACCATTTTTTGCGTTACGCCATTTACGTTTTTAAATTTAGTTTTGCGTGACTGCGCAAAAAAGCTTTTGCAGTTTCTACATGGGCGGAGATTTCAATAGCTATTCTTGTTCTTTTATAAACCCAGATGAACTAATAGAGAAATGTGCATATTTGTATGATGAAACACAATAACAGTTTTGTATTTTTTCGTCTTCCTACCTTGTTCGAATCTTCCTAACATTGTTTTCTCTATATGTCTTGTTTATCTTCTCTGCATAATAACTAATGTTTAACCAATAAATAGCGAGAAAACAAATTCGAATAGAAATGGAGTATATTGCCAATTCAAACTGCAGCAGAAATTTTCTTGTTCAAAAAGAATCTCTGGCAAAGAGGAAACATACCGAAACACAATATACACATCCTCCTTGAAAAAAACACAAATACTAGAACTAGAATTATATGACAAAATAGAGTCTTTTGATTGCTCGATATAAAAGAATTTTCTCATATCGAGATAAAACACGGGAAAATCAATCTCTTCATTCATTGGGATAAAAATTTAATAGCGATACTTTTAGCTTCTTGTCGCGATGACCCTTTTATCACGGTAATAGTCGATAAAAATCTATTGGAGTTTATCGCGATAGTTTTGTTTTCAAAGATAAAGATCATACCTTTATCAAGATAAAGTCCAATAAATATTTATCGCGGCTTATTGACATACAGGTATTCACAACGCTAAATGACTTGTATACCGCGATAGTTTCGTCTACTGCGTTATATCGAGAGATTGTGATAAACTGCAATAACCTTAGTATAGCGATAGAGTTTCACATTAACACGATATTTCAGCACATTTAGCATAATATCTCGATATATCAAAGTTTTCAAGCAAAATTATCCTCATGGGTTCTACATTGCAATAGGAACATTAGTGCGGTGAACCCTCGTCATATCACGATAGTTCCAACTATCCCTTTATAACGCGATATCATTGTATTGCCGTTTATTGCCCCCGGGATTTTTTTCCCGATATTTAGAAAAGGTATCGCGATGAAACTGATATCTTGATAAAGTGCGATTTTTTCGCATTGTGATATATCAATGAGTAATCACCATTGGGATGAACATTTCCAGTGTTGCGAAAACATATCGTGATAAACAATAGTAAATATTATTAAACTATATCGGGATAATTGGAATTATCACGGTATGAGAGTGGTTTTAATCAGGATATTTCTACTGATATCACGAGGCCTTCTCTCTACTGGACTATATCACGTCATCACACTTTTAATGATGGTTGAACTCTCCGTTTGCTAACCTTAGCAGTAACACAACAATAAAGTGTTGCAGGATATAGAGCAATAAAAATGTTTCTATGTATATCATAATATCAGAACGTATTATAATACTTGTAATGTTTATAACACTAATTTTTGTATTCGGCCGCATAGATGAGTCATTATACATCGTATATTTATCGCGATAAGAAATCCTCTCGCGATAAACATCAGACTTCATGCGACATATGTTGAAGCATCGATAATCTGTAAAAACTTTTGAACAACGAATTTATGCAAGCTTTCAACAAGCCATATATCTGCCTTTAAGTAAAAATACTTAAAAGTTTCCAAGTTTTTTCTTCTTATTAACTTGAAAAGTCTTATCTACCAAGATAGTACTGACGAGCAGAACTTAGTAAACCATCCTAGTTAGTTCTCAGGTCCAAATTCATAGTGTAATAAATAGCAATATAATGGCTTATCTGGATATATCGTGAATATCGGAATGCTTAAATATGTCGTACTATAAAAATTACCGCAATGTATGGCGAGGGTTACACGTATTCGAATGTATTGCGACAAAAGTCACTATCGAAAAGTTTTTGGTGCTACAATACATTGGTAAGCCATCGTTCATCAAGATGTCCATACATAAAAATTATTATCGAGATATATCCCTGTAGTTTATGTATCCAAATATAGTGAAACGTTCCGACATTCGTGATATATTTTAGCCAACGCAATATATCTGGATAAATCTATCGGAAAGGCCTTCATGAATAATACTACAAAATGACATGGCATATTACAAACTTACCTATCCTGCAATACTCATAACAATAGTTTGTTATTGAAAGGTCTTTCGATTGCAGCTTCCATATCACTCGAACCATTATGATGTGATAATTTCATTTTAGGATTACTTCCTGTTTTTAGACTACGATCAAGTCATTGTTGATTACGACGTACACCATAGTCAATAAACAATTCCATCGAGTCCCTTTCCCTAACCACTTGAGCAATTTCATTTCGCCAGTTCATCATTAATCGAATACACCGGACAAGAAGTGATACCCATTATTAGAATGTTTAGGCGATTAGAGATTCTCGTATCTGCGCCAGAGCTGGTAGAAAAAATATATCACGATGCAAAGGAACTGAAATTGTTAAAGAAACTGCATGGAAACTGACCAGGCAACTAAGCGGACATTAGGCCAAAAAGTCCATTTTATCTATCTTGAAATACAAATAGTGCAAAATGTAGCTCTTGAAATTCTCTATCGAATGGTGTATAAACGTCT